TCTTTTTTCAGCAATGGGAGTTTTGAATTATGAGTGTACAGCACACAAATTAGATTAGGTATGGGTACAGATAAGAATTTATTATTATTATTCTTATTAATATTATTATTATTGATATCACTTATCGATTCAGTTGATAATCAGGTCATGTGTGGTCTAACACCCCGATGATGCTGATCACATCATTACATTCATGCAAATGAACTTCATGCTGTGTGGTCACATGTTGGAGGTGTTTGCCCCCTTTGTTGTGATCAGTGTTGGGGTCATTACTCAGAAGACTTTTGTTAAAAGTGGTTCTTAAAACCAAAAATGACCGGACTCACTTCCTGCTCCCTGATATCTGCATCCATGTTCCCGACCTGGCTGCCCATATTTCCAGGGACTCCTCCCGTGGTCTTTCTCCTGCATTTGAGCAGCTGTCACGACCAAAAGGAGGACACCGATGTTCCTCAGGAAGGAAGATGATGATGAAGATGATGAGCAGAAGTCGTAGGCCTCCACAGTTACAAACTGCAGCAGGTAACAACAAAGGAGGCAGCACCACCTGCACACTGTGGACCCTCTCTCATTTTTCATGTGTCACAGTATGAATTTGGATCTTATTGCTTCCTGCTGCCTCCTTTCCTGTTCGATTGTATCTACAGAGAAGAAACACGTGCATCTTCAGGCCTCGATGTGCTCGTTCTCCTCTTTAATCTCGCTTCTTCCAAAGAGTCGAGCCAAATCAGCACGAGCTCAGAGTTTAATTAGATAAATAATTCAAGTGATTTGATTATTTCACTTTGTGAAACAGACAAAAACCTGAGTGTTATTATTCATTAGGATGAACAACTCCTACAGGTTACTCCAGGCTTTTAGTTACAACAGTGACTCAGTTACACAAAGGCCGACAAGCTCAACACCTGTCGGCTTTCTTAATGGGGAGACAGAACACCTGCCACTGGTTGAAGAGTTATTTCACTTCAGTTCTTTTTTATTTCAAACATTCACCAACGTTTCATAAAATCTTTCCATGCAGTTGTTTGAAAAGGAGCAGGCAGAAGTATATACTTATACTCAGGTTTACATCCTCATCATCTAAATTTGAACAACAAAAACGTTACAACGCCTCAACTTAGAACATAACATCACAAAAA